AAAACTAAAATTTACAGCTAGCAACATGATAAGATACTTTTTATTGTTCCCTTTTCACAAAAGATTACAGTAGAAAACTTAACAGAATCAAAAAGAATACAAAAGCGAACATCTAAAGGAAATGTAGAACAAGAGTGAGAGATTAAAACTAGAATAATGTATTGTGTTTATTTTATGAGAAAAATATGAAAATAGCAACATTCTTATGTTAACAATACCTACAGTATATTATAAAATTTAAGAAAGTTTTTTTAATAAATAAAATACAATATTTAAATGGCAACAAGAAGATTCATTCATTATTTAACGTCAAACAAACTTTGGATATGATTGCACATTAGCCGTGCACTTATTTAGAAATTAAGAATATAAAGGAAGTCCAAATGAAACCTTTTCATATGTTTTCCTGAAATAGCAGGCCTATTTTAAAAATTTCTAGCAGCCCTTTTTCAAGTTAACCTTCTAACAAAAAAATCTGTAGTATTTATTTTTCAATTGTTTATCTTACAATAAAAGTGGTCTAACAATATTTAAAATATTGTCAAGTCCGAGATGGCGTTGTGGCAGACAGACGAACAGAGCCACACCGTAAGGGTTTTATTGTATCATTTTGTTACGGAATCCTAAAAAACACGAAAGTATAAACTTTCTATCACATATGGTGAAAATCAATCGGCAATACGTGCCGGATCGTGTCTATCAGAGATGGCATACATCGATCCCAACGATTGCTTTGTGCCACAGGAAATTAGTTTCTAACTTGTGAACGAGTTCCCAAGTACAATAGACTTACATAACAGATTCGGAAATACAATGTCCCCAACTAAAGCATAATATGCACACATTTTAAAACTAAGATCCGACAATATAGGCACTCTACTATTCAAAGAAAAAAAAACTCTGTTCTTTTTCTTGCGTACATGTAAAATATCCTATGTGTTAAATTAGAATATAAAGTGCATCATTATTTTTTCAAATTTCATCAAAATCTATTGAGCCGTTTAACCGTGACTGAGTAACGAACATCTTTACATTTAGGATACTAGTTTTTTTTATATTATCTTTGATGGCAAACAAGCATACAGCCCGTCTGATGGTAAACGAGGTCACCGTAGACTATGGACGCCTGTAATATCAGGGATATCACGCGCGCATTACCGACCCTAGGATACTAATATTATACTATACTCATACTATACTACTCATTTCTCCAGCCAGGGTTGTTCATGCGAAACTTATAAGTACTCAATCCCGTAACAATTATAAATATTCTATCCACCACTTTTATAGTTTATAAACTTTTTTACATAAAAAAACTACTTAGCAAAAATTCATATTTCTAGACGAAAAGATTCCGGCGGTGCTTTGATCAATTGGTTAGTTTCGTCTTTTACATAAAATACTACGCAGCTATTTCCTGCTGATTCGCTCACGAATTCGATATCTACTGTAAACAATATCGCACAAACAAGAGTCGATGACCTATTCGAGGTCTCTAATATATATTTGTAGGTCTTCAAGCGACTTCTAAAAGAAGAAAATTCTTAATTCGTTTAATATTTTTTTGCGATATTATACGATTTCGTCGCCTGTTCTATATTGATTTCCACAATTCCTTTTGCAATCGACATAATTTATTCCTGTTTTAGTCTAATTTCAATTTTATAACAATTAAAACTACTGTTTTCTTCGTGAAGCAATAAATTATTTGTTACGAAACATAATTTATATGTAAACACGCAACATTTACAAAAGTATCTAAAAAACAAGTCGTTATATGTAATGGCTTGGTAATATTACATCGTCTACCAATGCGTTCATGACTAAAGCCACTTTTTTACTGAGAAATATACCTTTGGAAGTTTCTAAAATATTTTCATAAAATGGAAAGCGGTGACCGTAATGTCAGATATACGTTTCTTTACAACTTTAATTATGTTGAAAACCCATTCAAAGTACATTAAATTACAAATGTCATGAACATAAGCCCGCCCCTCGAGTGACAGTTGCAGACAGAGAATAGTATGACAGCCTGAATATAGATTGCACCTGGTACCACCTTGCACCACTCTAACCAATCAATCATTCTGTCGTCTTCAAACTTCCTTCTTTAAAAAACGTAAACTAAAGTTTTTCTATTTCGTTTTTTACAGCGGTAAGTTTGATGATTTAAAGCATTTAATAGTTAAAACTTTAGTTAATAAACTATTAATAACTGCGCCACTGATATTCGCGAAACCCTAGGGAAATTATATTTATTCGCATTTCTTCGCCTAAGTCGACATGATTATTTTTGTCTTTTCTTGTCATTGCAATATTCGTAAATCGTATTAACAACCAACTACAGAAAGGTTTAGTTTCCCACTCTATTATATACGTATATAAATTTTAAAAACGAATAAAAACAGTAGATACAGTTCTTAAATTGGTACCATCACTTATTACCTCCATAAGTTTTTTTTTTTTAAACAAATTACATAATTAAAAAGAAAACTAAGAAGCTCAAACAAACAAAACTGGCTTATATCCAAAACGGCTGGGTCAATAAACCTTTATACCTACACATATAAAAAACAACATAAATTGTAGCTTATAAGTAGGTAAATACATTATTTTGTTTTGTACACTCGATTAGATAACCTGGATATAAACGGTAACACACAGGCGGCAAAGTTTTGCCAACTTCACTCCCTATTACCATTAATGATCGATCAGCCTTATAAGAGAATTGTATCTAAAAATACTTGATAAATTCTTAAGCGACTTCGTAAGGAAAGGAAGTTCTAAATTTGATGAAACAAATAATACAACGATGTATTTTTTGTTAGTATTTTTAAACCGATAATGAATATTCTTTTTAAGTGATTTCCAAATGCAGGAAGTTTTTAATTCAGATGTACTTTCTATGTGTTACGCAATATCTTACATATATCTATATATTGCACTTGCACAGAAGATACAGCGATTAATTTAACAACTTGTTAGCAACGTTGGGCTTATCTCTTAAAAGAGATCTCTCACCGCTAACCCAATGCAGTTAGAGAGAAAATAATTAGCGGGTAATCTACTCGCAGTGCAGGAATTATCTTCACAAATGTAACACCAAGCCTGATACTTATTTTTGTAATTGATGAAGTTTACTCTTATGTTAGTTCCATTTATTTTATCACGATTGAAATCACTGCTTGAAAGTAATATCCTGCTTGCAATTATTACAGTAATTACTTTATCACATACTACATATCTATAGCCTTCTCACGGGAATGGCAAATAACAAGTTTACGCGGGAGTAACACCAGAAAATAGCTAGTCGTATTATAAAATGGGCTCTACTAGCTACTAGCCCTTAATTAATGACTACAAACAGGTGCCTACACAAACCCAAAACATATTTATTCCCAACGATTAATAGGCGCAATTAATCACGTTAGATACCTACCAGAAGGTGCTCGCGGCATTTCCCCACACATTTTTCTTGATTTAAACCGTAAAGAAGGTCAAAATGTTAAATGCGAAGTGATAAAACTTGCAGGAAAGCTAATGATCACAGGCACGAAATATACTCATCGGCTTTAACCTATTAAACAAATATTTTACTCTAAATAAATTTCTATTCTAGTTTATAATGTATGTATGTATTAAAGGTTATTAATATATAGATAAAACAAGAATAACAAACAGAACAACAAGTTTGTTCTTTTTAAGTAAAATGTCTGGGCACTGACCGTGATCAAATAATCATCTCGACCCACTTTGAAGACTTTATTAATTAATGATACGTTTAATTTTTATTTATTGTTTGTAGTATTATTTAGTATGTATTGTTATGTATTGTTTAGTAGTTTCAGTTTTTAAATCAAAATTTTTTGGAACACAATTTGATTATATTTTATTTATTAGCTTTTTTTTATTTATCGGGCTTTTTAAACTTTATATTACATATATTTGGTGAATTTATAACTTAAATTGCAAGTAATGATACCCAATGTGAATAAAATTGATATCATATTGTAGATGATGTAATGACAATGCTATCTAATCGCCAGATACAAGGATTGTATCATGTTAAGTTGATATCTCCCATATTACAGATGAGTAGGAACATCCAGTCCTCATACAAAACACTCAACATTGTCCGACTCCTCTATTTAGATATCTATCATCATGCATCATCATCATTTCAGCCATTATCCGTCCACTGCTAGACATAAGCCTCCCCCATAGACTGCCATAAAGAACAGTCCTGAGCTACCTGCATTCACTGACTCCCTGGGAGGGGGGGTCGTCCTACACTGCGTTTAACCGTACGCGGTCGCCACTCAAGAACCTTTCTTCCCCATCGGTTGTCGATTCTTCGAGCTATGTGACCAGCCCTTTGGCACTTTAACTTGCTTATTCTTAGATATCTATAAATGCTATTAATTAAGTACCTACAGAAGAATGTACCTAATTCCTAATTGTAATGGAGTATTAATTTACTTGTTTTTAGTAACAAATAGCTTCAAATTTACTATTACCTAAGCAGGAAATACAACGAAGATGCATAGTATGGCTAAGCTTTTTGGCTATATTACCCACTTATCTACTTTTATTCGAATCAATGGAATGTATTTTTAAAGAGGGATTTAAAGATGCACTGATTTGTTTCGAGAAATTGTTCTGTCGTAATTGTTCGATTTGCCGTTTGCCCGCCTATTTAGTTCTCCAGAGTCGGAACTTCGTAATATAAGTATATATTGTATATTTTATTTAGGCAGTAAAGTATAAAAAAAAAATTATATAACACATTTATAATACAGCTAAAGCTAAAATAAAATAATAATGTGACATCGAAGCAATAATACATGACTAAGCTTAACATTAAACATATTGGGCCACACTAATACGAGTAATAATGTTAAAGTGTCGAGTAAAATAATAGTGATATGTGACTAATTAAATGCCACAAAACGCAAATGACATAATACATGGTCTCTACGACGACACAACATCATGCTTACTTAGGTGGCATATCGTTGTAGGTCTACACCCTGGAAATTTCCTGTAATGAAAGAAAATTGGCAGTAAATATATGCAATATCTGTAATATTTGTCACGATCTTCAAAAAAGGGAAAGTTCTCGAAATAACTATATATAATAGGTACACGGTTACATCGCTAATTCTAAACTGATTTTCCCACTTCTTTTGCAATCAACAAAGATTAATCCCGTGTCGTTTCCATATTAAGTTACTGACAATTGAAGCCCCCATATATGTTTGCGAAGCAATATCCTGGTCGTTGTAAAACAGAATCTATTTATAAACATTTGTAAATATTTTCAATTGAAAGCCTACAAAATATTTCATCTTTCATCTCACGATTGATTTGATTTATTATTGTTTCTTCAGTTTTATACTACTATTATCTTTTAGTTAAACATAAATACTTAATATAAAATATATCTTATCGAAATTTTCAATTCTTTAAAACTCACCTGGTGACCCTGTCGAAATTTATCGATCTTAGTATATATGCCTATATATCTGTACCTTCGCTCGCAATACAAAGCTACCAACTTACCTCAAACCGATCTCATTATTCATTCAACGAGAGAAACCCGTCTGTATCAGATTTCTGTCGTCTAGAGTTTTACGATAGGCGAAGATAACAAGGTACAATTGATCTCCATTTGTTCGCTCCATTACTACTTAAATATTTGAATCTGCCTATCCAGTTACAAAAATATTGATTATCCTCTCTCTCTTATTGTTTATTGCACATAATGTCATTTACGAGTAACAGAATATATATTTTTTTTATTTTTATATACTTTCTCTATTTTTTTTTTGATAATGTAACGGACATTCATATGCTCGTTCTTACTTTGATCTTTAAAACTGAGATAATAACGTTTAAAACTGCAAGTATTTTCGACAAGCTCAATAAAATAAATTTAAGCAATTCTATTGCTACATATATATATATATATATATATATATATATATATATATATATATATATATATATATATATATATATATATATATATATATAGCTTCTATAATAATGTTCTTCGGCAAAATGTGGACAAATGTTACGTACTACAACGATAAATGTTTACAAAGTACTTGGGTACACCCCACGTATTATTACAGTCATGGGCATACAGGATAATAAGGCTACTTGATCCCTCTCATAAATCGCGCGATCACGAAATCGATTCAGCCCATATGTCTTGGTGAAAGTTATTTAGTTTTCATTTTATTAACATTGTATTTTTGTAAATTTTATATAACTTGGCATTTGAATAGTAAACAAGCTGATAACCCAAGTAATGGAAAGTAATAAACGTTAGCTATAGATTTTTCCTTACAGTTACATCCTGAAGCATCACTCTCTACATCTACATTATTATAACTACATAATACAATTTTAGTTCAATCTTACAGCGAATTAATTGCACTAACTACTATGAACTAAATTTATTAAAATCTAGATTTAAATTTATTAAAATCTAGATTTAAATAAAATTTAAGTTAAATTTAGTTTTTTAATTGCTTCAAATATAAGACTAATATACTAACAAATTTTAATTTATTTGATACGTTCCAAGAATGGCCCTACAGAGTCAAATTCATTATTGAATCCCTTCCGTTACAGAATACCTGTCCATAATTATACCCACCACTTGATATGGGTCTTTTATTATGAAAGAAATTTTCTTGAACTTGAGCTTACTTTTTCTACTTTTGTAGTCATTTTCATTGTATTGCGTCATTTTCGGAATGATAAAGAGTGATGATACATTCATTCTTATTTCATGGCCACAAAAAAATGATTGTATTGGTATATATCGTTGGTAATAGAGGGAAACTTTGTACAAAAGTCGTTTGCTTGGGCACCTCTGTCCCATTCGTGTTTTTTTACCGTGAAGCAATTGTGTTTGCATGGCTGTGTTTCGGTTCGAAGGGTAAGATATGGCAGTAAATTTACAGGGTACAGAGGAATAACACCTGAATCCTCAGGAATGGCAACACATTAGGAGGTTGAGGGGTGGGAGGAGGGTATCATGGGCGAAACAGTATACTCTGTTATGTCCTTGGTACTGCTCATGTCTATAGGCGACGGTTACCGCGTTCCATCAGGTGGGCCATCAGCTTGTCATTCTAAGTTGCATAAAAAAATATATATGTGTATATTGTCATACATTACTAAAAAGGAAATTAACATTAGAATGTAAAGCCCTTTGTTGTTATGTGAATGTTGTTAAGTACTCAGTCAATCTACCCCACAGCCGTATATACTTGTATACCCGTATACCCACACCATAGGCCATAATCCCAAGAAGGTAACTCAAGTAAACAAGTTCAGCCGTTGCCAATTATCTTAACTGTTTAGGCCGCAGAACTGACTCCACCTTCACACCAATTTTATTATCAGTTGTTATATTTAGCCAGTCTCTATACCTGCCTTGGCTTGAATAGTATGGATAGCTTTAATAAAGCCTATATTTATTAGGCTATTGATGTCCATTGGTTTGAGACATATAATCTTCAGATGTGTCATTCGCTTGTGATACATGCCTGATTTTTTAGATGCTTTATATGCATTTAATAATTTACTTGTTCATATTTCTATTATCATATAGAAGTACAATAAAAAATCTCTAATCATATACATATATATAATATATTGCACATAGGTACACGATAATGATTGTTAATTAGATTTATGTTTAACTTGTAAATGAGAAAGTCTGTTTACTTTATCTAAATTTTTAATTATTTATTTAATTAGTTCAATAATGTATATCGTTTTGAATATAGCAATAATTTAAATATAAAATCTGATGAACTTAAAGGATCTATTTAGAACTTTGTTTCTTTGAAAAGAACAACAATAATTTGTTATATTCATACGTTCATAGAATACCAATATCTATTTATTTCATCTAAATCCATGCTTTTACGTTTAAATTTTAATAATAAATAGAATTATTAACAGATAGTATCTACTTTTACATGTATTGATCATCTCTTCTACTATGAAGTATACGCTATTTACCTAAATTAAACAAACAAAGACCTATAATTGACTATCGAGACACGTCATTATATAAATTCGTGTCGACTTTATATCATCAATCTACAATTTTTTTTTATACTATTATTTGTATTTTCGGTCAATTTGTGTGGCAACAAATAGCATAAAACATAAAATAGTATTGCTATATTTTATCGATTTATTATAACTGGTAGTTATAATTATTTACAATGTAAATTTTATGAGATGTGACATTTCAATATTAGAATTTATATATTTTGGTCCATAACATAATTATACTAATCTGTCTGCAATTCAATTAATGTAATCTATGCATAATGCATCAGCAATGACGCAAACTGAACTAAACTCATTTATGTAATGATTACAAAATTACTTTGTCATTCATAAAATCTGTCATTGCCAGTTCCTGCAGTGATAGAATTTGTTTCGGGTTTGTATGTGAAAATGACATTTCGATATTATTATGTCCGTTGTTCGTAGTTACGTAGACGCTGAAAAGGTCACAGCTAACAAAGAGCCTCCCGCGCACTAAACGATTAATATGAGTATGTACCTGCAAGCGAATGACTTGAATTTATAGCGTTCTACAAATGTCTGCTATTTAATAAATACACTTTTATCCTTTTACCTTTGTACAATAAATATATTTTTCAACTGTAAATATATTTGTTTCAAACGATAATAATAATATGTTACAAAGTTTTTGTTTGTAAATAACACAATTATTTTAAAGAAATTGCACATATAACCAGTGCATTTTCTTAATAATTTAGTAGCGAAGAATATAGAATAAACCTAAAATGCATATGAAATATTGCCATAATAATAAAATTGTAATGATACATTTGTATCTACACGGAGACCATCTGGTCTCCGTGTTGTACCTACTGCTGTTCTACAAGTACGCCATTACATTTTAACAGCCTAATAAACCTTCATTATGTACATACGCCTACAGACTATTTTATACTATATTTATGAGATACATTTGCAGAAATTCATATTCCAAAACTTTTTTTTTTATTATGATACAAAAAAGTTTTTGAGTTAAACGAATGTACGTCACCTATTTTATTAACTGTTTATATCAATAAACAGTTACCACATGGACCATATTATAGACCGACATCATTTTAAATAGCTCATAAAACCTCTAGAAATTTGTGTTTAATTTTTATTAAGCATTAATAGAGCACTGTCTGCAAATTACTATATAGGCCCCATAAAATAATCTGCATTATTTTTGTTGGATATCAACCTCATACTAGCAAACTCAGCAAAGCATTAACTAACTCCTTTGATTTTTATACCTATTATTTTGTAGTACCGTTGGTATAGATACAGATTCTACATTATACTTTATTTCAAGATTTATTATTTTTGTTTTCGGTAATATAAAAAAAAACATACACGCTTCCGAAAACACATCAAGGATTTCAATTGTAATATACATTGCACATATGAAACACACATCAATCGATTAAAATTTACAAATGATGTAATTCGAGAATGTGTCACTTATAAAGAGAATAATTAATTTCTCGAAAGCACACGCTCGAATTTAGCCATTTTCACACTTGTCTTGCAAATGCCTCGTTTGGTAAGGGGTTACGCATCCATAAATCCTATTTAGGCTTGCTCTCTCATACAATATTGTTAACACAAGCATTAATTTATGATATAACATTCGTTCTTCTTGCAACATCTACCCCCACGTTATAACATATTCAAAATCTCAAGGTACCTACCTCCATTTTGACTAAGCAACGATCTTATCACGGGGGTTTAATATCTAAAGTTCAAGCTGAAGGCCTCTTATGCTTCATTAAGTCTAGTTATGCGTATAAGAAAGGGTCCAAAGGGTTCGACTTACTTTAAATTATCTGTAAAATTACACAATCTGGAGTTTATTTCGTAATACAAGCAGATAGAATAACATTATTTGTGTATTAATTATCTTTGTTAATACACAAATTGTCAATACTCTTGTAT